GCGCGCGCCCCTGGGGGAAAAACCCCCCCCCCCCAAAAAAAAAAAAAAAAAAGAAAGTCTCTCACAGAAAACCCTTTAACCAATTTTGTGTCTGAAATGTGCCCTCGCTTAATTCCTAGTCTAGTTTCTCAGAGATCCTGTTTATACCCAGGCTGTCCCTCATTCATTCTTACCTTTTGTCCTTTTTGCCCCTCTCTCAATACAACTATTAGCCCATCAACACTTACTAAGCCACCTATTTATTAACAAGGACTTTTCTCTTTCCTGGTCTGCTCTTCTATAGGTCTTTATGTAGACTTAGGAATCTCAGGAGGGCAGAAATTATGTTGGTTGATGGCATATAAAGGCAGCTTCACTCTTTTCCCTTTCATAGTTACAATAGAAAAGAAATCATTCAGGACTTCTTACTATAATGACAATTCATAAAGCAAGAGAAAAACACCGCTTTCGAAGCAATTACTACAGCTTATTTTTCCCTGTCTACCTCTGTGACAGTTTCCTAGAGTTTTAAGTTGACCTATAGAACAGATATCAAACTTACTGAAAAGCTATTCTTTAAATGGCTCCTGAAATATTTATGTGTTTTGGCATTTGGGTTTTGGTTGATTAAAGAATAACTTAGTTAATTAAAATCACAAAATTTATTTATAAGGGGAACATGAAATATCTATTATTCTGTCATGTACTTCATAATATGTTATAATATTTTTCTAACACATACTTCTGCATTAATCACATTACCTGGCACAATGTTTAATGACTTATTCAAATAAAATACACACACACATACACACACAGATATACATAGATGTTTAAGTAACCTTTGCATGGATTTGGAGTGGTTCTGATAATGCTGAGTATTATAAAGAGTCAACTCTTCTACTTAAGGCCCTGTTTATTGCATTTAAAATTTCAACCTTTGAAAGACTTCGTTTGTGGTGAGATGGCGAAAAGAATATATCGGATGATGGATAAATACACAACTTCTCCAACCTTAGTCTATATATTCTAATAAACTTTCTGAAATCACATTAAGCCTACAAGTTATGTTTAAAATGCTACAAACATGTGTAAATAATGAAAGAAAAATAATTCTATCAGATAAAGAGGCAGATAGTTAAGATAACAGGTCTGGCCTGTTTTTCACTAGTTCTCTCAGCCCACTAATCTGCCAACATCAGGAAGATTATTTTGTTTTATGTTTTTTAAAAATCATTTTCCCTCGCCATCTTTTCTTCTTCAATATCCTCTTACTTTTGTAGCATGGTATGTCTATATCAGACATTACAAGGAGAAATCATTTATAAATGTCTTTCAAGCCTTTCCTTTCTGGAAGATCTCCAGTAAGGAATAAATCAGAAAATTTGTACCTTGATTGACTGCCACAAAAACTGGGTAGTGCTCTTAACTGTACACATACACAATCACTAACTTCCCTCGGATGGAATATTTTAACCCCTAATTTTCATTTCAGATTCCTTTTTCAGAGAGTTAACAATTTTAACATAGTCATAACTCAAGTTGATTTGAATCAATTTAGGTTGTATTTTGTTTCTTTTGAAGTTCAAATAATAAGATTCTAAATGTCTATATAAATTTCTCTGGTACTAACAGATATCTGGTGGGCTCTTTTAGGAGACATTCCCTTACACCTTAATATAAGGGAAGCTTCAGATACAGGCCAGCCAATTGTATTTTCACAGCCTGAAAGTGATGAGGTAAGTCATATTTAAATGTATGTATTTTTTTAAAATGCTTATAGGATATTTACTTTTTTTTTCTTAGAGGTTTTTGTTATAGGGCGCGTGCCCTTGCCAGACAGACAGAGAGAGACAGAGAGATAGAAAGCGAGAAATCACCCCCCAGGGGGGATGGCCATGCCACAATCCCTTCTCCTCCATTCTCCTCTCGGAATCTTGGGCACGCACGCACACGTGCCCGGCATGAGTTTTAAGCCACCGGGTCCGGGACGCGACCCATGGTCGACTACGTGGGAGTCCAGCAACATAGCCATTACGCTAACTGCTGGTCCCAGGATATTTACTTTTTGATATATAGAAAGTTGGGAAGATGAAACATCTATTTGCAGTGTACACACACACACACACAACACACATACACATGCACATGAAGTATCTTTAAATACTATTTTATACAATAGGCTGCCACTACAGGCTCTAAACTATCAGCTAAACAAGTTCACCTACAGAGAATTATCATTTAGCCAGTTTTCCCATGACAAGCATGAACGATGAGTTCAAAAAGATTATTATATTTCACTATTAGAAATTCCACTGGTTGCTGAAGCTGACCCTACTATAAGAAAATATTCAGATGGATTAGGATAGTTAGGGATTAGTGATGGGGTTTTTATTACATTAATTTTAGAAAATATGAACTGAGAGGTAGAAAGACTAGTAGTATTCTATTAGTATTGTTGGGGTATACTTGATGGGTTTCCAAAGTTACTGAAACATAAAAATTTTAAGCAAAAAATCTTTTCTCTTTTTAAAATAAAAATGAAATCAAACACACACACACACACAACACACACACACACACACACACACGTGTATATATACATCTTCTTTCCTAAGCAACAAATGTTGCTTAGGAAACAGCATTTATGGTACAGATAACTGAGTTGCTGGTAATATGCACTTTGAGTAAATATCCTATACCAGTTACCACTGTTTTTTTCCCTCTGCCTTTTGGTATTACATGTGAAATTTCCTCTGGAAATCTGTCAGAGAAGCAAAAATCATAATCCTTTATCACTTTCATAATCGAAGGCTAGCAATCCCAACTACCATAGGTGTGCTTTACTTTATACAGTAAATGAAATTTTGTATGTAAGTTGGAGGTTTTTATTTATAATTAGACTTTTAAATGCCTCTTAAAAAACAGACTATTTTAAGATATTCTTTGGTGATTCCTGACAAATAAGAATACTTACTTACTAGTTTATTTCAATTCCGAGTTTAGATTTTTAATATTTTTTCCATCTGTCCATTACTGCTTTCTTCTTTGAAGTTTTCCAAAAGCAAGAAACATTTCAATGACTTAAAGGAACATAATATGCATGTAACAGAGAATATATGATAAGCATCCAAAGATAATATGACTTAAAACTCTAAGCCACTGTGTTTATGGAGTTTGTTTCATGCGGCTATATAATCTAAGCTACATTCACATAAATATTAGACCTATTATTTTACTGTTGTTGGGTGACATTTATGAAAGTCTTAGGACAGTTTAAACCATTTTGGTTTGGGCTAGATTTGATTTGGTTAGTTCTCTGCACAAAAGATTAAGCCTACTACATTATTAGGCTTATCTATGAATACTTCTGATCAATTTTAAGATCCAGACATGGAAATTGTGTGGTAGCACAGTGGTAAAATCGAACACTCTGTGAGGCTGACTAACATAGAAGTGTTCTGGGTTCATTCCCAGAGACTTCCCTGACTGCCCAAGGCATGTATGTACCCAAGATCTGGGGCCAGTTGAGACTAGGCATGGATTGTGCCATTAAAACTCTGTTGAGAATGCTCTTTAGCTGAGGGAATAAATAAGTAAAATCAGAATTGAAAAAAAAAGAAAGTTACAGAAAAGAAAAGATTTAGACACAACCAGGAAAGAGAAAAAAAAATGGTGACCTGTATTCTGTTTTCCTTCAATGGGCAATATTACTTCTTACTCTTAGGTAGCAGATATTCATTATAATTAATCATATTCCTAATAATAGCAATTACAATGTGCCAGACATGGTTTTATTTATGTAATTTCTATCCTCACAATAACTTAATGCAATATACAGTCACCATATTACAGATGAGAAAATTGAGGCTCAAGGAAATTAAATAATTTCCCCAAGGTCACAGAGCTATCAAATGGTATGACGTGATTTAAAAGACAAGTGTGCTTCTTCCAAATACTGGCCTCTTTCCATTATATCACCTTCCAGGTCCTACCCCATGGGTACAATTTCTTTACTCTCTTCTAAGAAACTGGTCCAATACTTAGATGCGTTGAATATATTATCTTACTTGATTCTCCTAGTATCATTGTGAGATAGATATATCTTCTAGTTTTCTGATGAAGGAGTAAGGGTTTATTTTCATTAAAGAACTTGCCCAAGATGCGACTAGAAGCCAGTTTCACACTCAGTCTGATACTAGGATGCGACCCATGGTCGACTACGTGGGAGTCCAGCAACATAGCCATTACGCTAACTGCTGGTCCCAGGATATTTACTTTTTGATATATAGAAAGTTGGGAAGATGAAACATCTATTTGCAGTGTACACACACACACACACAACACACATACACATGCACATGAAGTATCTTTAAATACTATTTTATACAATAGGCTGCCACTACAGGCTCTAAACTATCAGCTAAACAAGTTCACCTACAGAGAATTATCATTTAGCCAGTTTTCCCATGACAAGCATGAACGATGAGTTCAAAAAGATTATTATATTTCACTATTAGAAATTCCACTGGTTGCTGAAGCTGACCCTACTATAAGAAAATATTCAGATGGATTAGGATAGTTAGGGATTAGTGATGGGGTTTTTATTACATTAATTTTAGAAAATATGAACTGAGAGGTAGAAAGACTAGTAGTATTCTATTAGTATTGTTGGGGTATACTTGATGGGTTTCCAAAGTTACTGAAACATAAAAATTTTAAGCAAAAAATCTTTTCTCTTTTTAAAATAAAAATGAAATCAAACACACACACACACACAACACACACACACACACACACACACGTGTATATATACATCTTCTTTCCTAAGCAACAAATGTTGCTTAGGAAACAGCATTTATGGTACAGATAACTGAGTTGCTGGTAATATGCACTTTGAGTAAATATCCTATACCAGTTACCACTGTTTTTTTCCCTCTGCCTTTTGGTATTACATGTGAAATTTCCTCTGGAAATCTGTCAGAGAAGCAAAAATCATAATCCTTTATCACTTTCATAATCGAAGGCTAGCAATCCCAACTACCATAGGTGTGCTTTACTTTATACAGTAAATGAAATTTTGTATGTAAGTTGGAGGTTTTTATTTATAATTAGACTTTTAAATGCCTCTTAAAAAACAGACTATTTTAAGATATTCTTTGGTGATTCCTGACAAATAAGAATACTTACTTACTAGTTTATTTCAATTCCGAGTTTAGATTTTTAATATTTTTTCCATCTGTCCATTACTGCTTTCTTCTTTGAAGTTTTCCAAAAGCAAGAAACATTTCAATGACTTAAAGGAACATAATATGCATGTAACAGAGAATATATGATAAGCATCCAAAGATAATATGACTTAAAACTCTAAGCCACTGTGTTTATGGAGTTTGTTTCATGCGGCTATATAATCTAAGCTACATTCACATAAATATTAGACCTATTATTTTACTGTTGTTGGGTGACATTTATGAAAGTCTTAGGACAGTTTAAACCATTTTGGTTTGGGCTAGATTTGATTTGGTTAGTTCTCTGCACAAAAGATTAAGCCTACTACATTATTAGGCTTATCTATGAATACTTCTGATCAATTTTAAGATCCAGACATGGAAATTGTGTGGTAGCACAGTGGTAAAATCGAACACTCTGTGAGGCTGACTAACATAGAAGTGTTCTGGGTTCATTCCCAGAGACTTCCCTGACTGCCCAAGGCATGTATGTACCCAAGATCTGGGGCCAGTTGAGACTAGGCATGGATTGTGCCATTAAAACTCTGTTGAGAATGCTCTTTAGCTGAGGGAATAAATAAGTAAAATCAGAATTGAAAAAAAAAGAAAGTTACAGAAAAGAAAAGATTTAGACACAACCAGGAAAGAGAAAAAAAAATGGTGACCTGTATTCTGTTTTCCTTCAATGGGCAATATTACTTCTTACTCTTAGGTAGCAGATATTCATTATAATTAATCATATTCCTAATAATAGCAATTACAATGTGCCAGACATGGTTTTATTTATGTAATTTCTATCCTCACAATAACTTAATGCAATATACAGTCACCATATTACAGATGAGAAAATTGAGGCTCAAGGAAATTAAATAATTTCCCCAAGGTCACAGAGCTATCAAATGGTATGACGTGATTTAAAAGACAAGTGTGCTTCTTCCAAATACTGGCCTCTTTCCATTATATCACCTTCCAGGTCCTACCCCATGGGTACAATTTCTTTACTCTCTTCTAAGAAACTGGTCCAATACTTAGATGCGTTGAATATATTATCTTACTTGATTCTCCTAGTATCATTGTGAGATAGATATATCTTCTAGTTTTCTGATGAAGGAGTAAGGGTTTATTTTCATTAAAGAACTTGCCCAAGATGCGACTAGAAGCCAGTTTCACACTCAGTCTGATACTACAGTCTATGCATTCTTTTCCTAATGCAATGTCTGCTTCGCTTCGTTGATAAGTGCAAGGTTAATTCAATGTATGTCTATTGTAATTATAGATTAGCTTTGTGTTCAATTCCTTTTTTTACCACAGCCATCTAGCAAAAAGGGTGAGCAGACCCTTCAGGGTTTTTTTGGCGTGCACAATCACAGGACATAATACAGAAGATTTTAATCCCCAAAATTATATCCAGAATGTGTGAAGGTGCATTTTTCTTAGGAATTGGCTAAGAGCTCAAAGGGAGTCTCTACATGGAGGGAAAAGCACTAAATCTGAGTCAAAATGAGGTTTTA